AGTGCATTGAAAAAAGAAAATAATTGAAATTGAAAAAAAGTATTGAAATAAAGAAGATAATTGAAATTGAAAAAGTGCATTGAAAAAAGAAGATAATTGATTGTGAAAAAGTGAATTGAAATAATGACGATAATTTAAATTTAAAAAGTGAATTGGAAAAAGAAGATAATTGAAATTGAAAGCGAATTGAAATAAAGAAGATAATTGAAATTGAAAAAGTGCATTGAAAAAAGAAGATAATTAATATTGAAAAAGTGAATTGAAATAAAGAAGACAATTAAAGTTAAAACAGTGAATTGAAATAAAGAAGAATAATTGAAATAAGAAAAGTGAATTGAAACAAGAAAAATAAGTGAAATAGGAAAATTAATCCAGAAAAGAAGAATAAGTGAAAATAGGAAAAGTGAATTGAAACAAGCAAAATAAGTGAAATAGTAAAAGTAATCCAGAAAAAGAAGAATAAGTGAAAATAGGAAAAGTGAATTGAAACAAGAAAAATAAGTGAAATAGAAAAAGTAATCCAGAAAAAGAAGAATAAGTGAAAATAGGAAAAGTGAATTGAAACAAGAAAAATAAGTGAAATAGAAAAAGAAGAATAATTGAATATAGGAAAAGTGAATTGAGATAAGGAAAATAAGTGAAATAAAAAAAAAAGGAATCCAGAAAAAGAAGAATAATTGACATCTAAAAAGTGATATAATAAGGAAAGTTATTGAAATAGGAAGAATTCAAGTAAAGTGCAATTAAGGAAATAAGGTAACTGGAATAAGAAAAGTAATTAAAACAAGTGTCCCCGAGGTAATTAGAAATTCAGTGAAACAAGAAAATAATTTGAAAAAGAGAGGGAGAGAGGTCAAACAAGTGTTTCCAGAGAAGAAAAAATAAAGAAATAGAAGCAGCTACTACAAGAGGAGGAACACAAGCCACGTAGAGGATAAATTAGCGGCCAGCAGCAAAAGAAAACGTTACCAAAAGGGCTCCAAGGAAAAAGGAAGGCTGACCAATCATTCGAAAAGGGCACCGAAGAGCAGTAAATTAGCGTCCAAATCTTCAGGCGTCGCGGTAGGCAGCATGAGGACGGTCATGAAGATAGCTCGGACAATTAAAGGGGTCATAGAAAAGTTGCGACAAAATTCTGGGCATACCGAAGACTTCTCCGCAATATTAAATCGGCTAACAAAATTACTGCAGGAAGAGAATGAGAGCACAGCAAAATTCGGGGCACGATTAGAAAGTATGAGAAGCCAAGCAGCCAACAAAATTGACAGGTTTAGTTCAAGAGAAGACATAGTTCACCGCAGAGAAAGAGAGCACGCTAGAATCAGGTTGGCAACATACGGGGAAGAGTTACAGGTCGAGGAGTCAATAAAGAAGCCTAACAAGGAGACAATCGGAAAAGAACCACTAGTATTCACCGTTACGAATGATGCAGCCAATATTGACCAAGGTGGCCCAAAATGCTATAGATGCGGAAAGGTAGGACATTTCATACGTAATTGCTCAGTTCAAAACGAAAGATGACAGCAGGTACGGAGAAGATCATACAACCCTCGAGAAACCGGACAGCTGTATAGAAATAATAGCCGCGATAACGCCAGTAATTGTGGGAATAGAAGATCATATGGTATTAATTACTACGTCAATAATAATCAAGCCGGTCGAGGATATCAAGGTAACTACAGGGGACAAGAAAGAGGCAACAATTACCAGAACAGAAGAAGTCAGGGACAGCAACAACCTGCAGATAGCCGAAGAGATGGATTAATGGGCCCACAGTATCCACAGCAATCATGGCAACAGGATCAACGACCATCTCAAAATCAGCAGCAACAACATAGACAGCCAATATCAAACAGCAACAAATACAGCGACTACCTCAGAAACAGTGGCAGCAATAACCGCAACAGAGACCGCATCAGCAAAATTATTAACAGACTTGGTCAAGAAGGACACCCCTTTTGTATGGAAAGAAGCTCAGAAAAATGCATCCAAAACATTGAAGAGAGAATTATGCGAAGGATTTACGTTACAATATCCCGATCTCAGAAAACCGTTCATCGTCACGACAGATGTGTTAGAATATGCAATGGGGGCAATATTAAGTCAAGATAAGCTTGGAGAAGATAGAGTGATAAGTTACGCTTCAAGGGTGTAACGGGTGGTTTATTTCCCGTACTTAGTAGCACTGATTATCTTTAAATAAACAATATAATGACAAAAATGACTCTAACGACAAATAGGGCGCCACCAGGATTATTATCTCGGTTCCTGGAACCGGATGCCAGAGCTGAGCTTTCTTAATTTACAGGGAGAGAGAGAGAGAAAGGTTTACGGGAAATAAATATATTCTTATTTAACAACGGATACAAATTTATTTAACGATAAAAATTTAACAACTTGTACACTTGTATGTACTCCTCACTCACACACGCTACTCACTTACAACTAAGGTTTTTCTTACTTCACGCTTCCCACCGGGAAGTCGCTACTACAACTTATATCTACTTATCAATAAGACACCTCGTACAAAGACTGCAGTGCACGAGGGCTTATCAATAACGCCTTGCAACAGAGGCAACAGCCTAGTGACTGCAACATAAGCCAAGAAGCCTCTGCAGCTCTCTAACACCTAACTTACTACCGCTGTACCCCACTTGGCGTCTATACAACGGCTTCTATCAAAATGCTTAATCCCACAGTACCCTCTTATGGAGCGACTATACTGCAGTTTCTACCTTACTACCGCTGTACCCCATTTGGCGTCTATACAACGGCTTCTACGCCAGCGAAACACCTCGCAACGGACTGCACGACTGCGAAGGAACCCTGGTGGCACTCACACACACATACCCCACACCTCTCACACACACACCGACTCTACTTTTCTAATTTATTTCCGGATTACAAAATTTATTCCGAAAAATGTCAACTTTAGATTCTCATAAAACTTATCAGTCATTAGCTTACAACAATAAAACTCCTGAATTTATTCTCATAAATTACTAAATTTTACTTCTTAAAATATCCGGCTTAAATCGACGCTTCTTTTCCCTCCATTTTTAATCACGAGCTTATCTCTGCGCATTAACAAATTCTCAGAACCTTTGCCGCAACATTTTACCTCGACATTTTTGTTGCGGGTAAAACTGTTAATTTTTCTCGGACGTAATCCACACGAATCATTAGTTCTATAAATAATTTTGCCGGAATAGCAATGATGATAAATTATTGATAAATTCGATATAAGACTCCCCTGGCAGGAATTGGCAATTAAATTCGATAAAATTTTATAATTTTACTCAACATGAAAATTACGTGCCTCAATTTTCCTGCGGGTGTTTCAGTCTTATCTGCGTCGAAATTTAATAAATTAGTTCTCAACAATTAATAACACGTGGAATAACAAATCTCTAGCAACTTGCGAATAACGGTTAGATTATAAACAATTCACTTCAGATTGGAAAAATAATTTCAAAAAAAATTATCCACGGTCCTAAATTTCGAAATGCGACGCAGCTTTCTCAATAAATCAATTCCGGTAATTAAAATTGTTCCGAATAAATAATCAAATAATTTTCCAAAAACGACAAATATATATACAATAATTAATTAAATGAGAAGAAGTATTTTCCGTGAGCCGGGTGTGAACCCCTTAGCTCAACACGGAGACAGAAATCCGTTACCTTAGCAAATTTTCCTCACCGAAGAAATTCTGGACTGCGTTTGGTCTTCCTTCTGGATGTTGTTGCTCGTTGGTGCTTCTGGGTGAACCACTTCACTACGTCTCCCGACACAACGCACTGCTCAGCTATTTAATGGATCTCCGAAATACCCCCTCCCACTTACTACTAATCGGGTCTTGTCGGGTCACGAAGATCGAGACGCCAGTGCTGCGTCGAATTATTATCACGCGCGATCGATTTTATCGATCAGGGGCAAAGTGCCCTGTTACACTCTCCCCCGCCAGACCAGCACTGGGGGTCTCGATCCTCAGTTCCCCTCAGAGGGTACATGAAATATAATTATAAGAAGTTTCAAAAGAAATTACAAATGAATTTATTTAGCCACTACAAATCTTCGTCGTGGTCCAATTCCAGGACATCGTCATCGCTGTCCTCATTGAATGACTTCTCACCTCCGATCCCGGAATCCTCGGAGATGGGGAGTGCACTGCCCCCGCAGTAGTCCATCTCTGCCCAATTGGGCCCTCTCAGCTCACCCTTCTTCCTCTTCTTCTTCTTTTTGTTTTTTCGCCGAACAGGAGCAGTGGATGGGTCCAGCTCTGGCCTCTTCTCGCTCCGCGGGATGCCAGTCTCCATTACTCCTGTCTTAGCAGCCCGTTCCAGAGCCAACTTATACAAGCCAGCCCGGTATTCGGCGAAGGCTGGCGACAGATGGGGTGGACACTCAGGAACCTTAAAGGTGGATGTTGGGGCTATCTGAGTGTTAGCAGCGTGCCGACTCCCAGTAGGGAGCGCTGCAGCCTCCTCCAACTCCATGGGTATGGATCTGGCCACTGTCGCTGGTGTTATGCGAGCTGGAACGGGTACCAGAAAGGTGGAGCTTCTCCCGGGTACAGTTGATGATGGCTGGGATTTTGTGAAGACCATGGTCTTCACGTACGTGGTCGTCTTTGTAGGCTTGTTTGTTGTAACAAGTAATCGACGAGGGATGGCCCCCTTGGACACGTCAGAGACGCGTCCGAGTGTATTACCTTCACCTCGGATCTCTGCTGTAGGTCTCCATGGTATATCTGGTCTGGATGAAGGTCCTGGTATAGCCTCAGGTGGTCTTGGCCTTGTTATTGGTAGACCACGAACTGGAGCAGACACTGGCGGTGGTGTCGTTATGGACGAAAGTGGAATGGAGACCCGGACTGGCGTAAGAGACGTCTCCGACCCCATCTATTTACTCGCAGCCCGGACTCCAAACGTCAATAGCTCCAGAGGCCTCGGTTTCTTAAATTTAGCTTGTTCACCGTCAGTAAGGGCTCTCCTTCAGGCTTTCCACAAGATGTTCTTGGGTGTTGTCGGGTCGGCCAGCAACAGGTTAAACTTTGACCTGCGCCTATTCAGCCTGTTCTGATTCCCGCTAAGCCCACACCATTTTGAAATCTCGGTACAGATTTTATGTCCTCTTCCGTGGCGTCGATTAGCTCGCCTGGTTCTCGCCCGGTCTGGCGCCGAGTGTTTACCGTCCTCGGTCTCTTTTGGTCCATCTCCAATCTGGAGAGCTCCCAATCGATCAAAGACCGAGGATGTCAGTACTGCTGGGGATGGATCGTAGCTAGGTTCCATCGGTCCCAGTCTAGACAAAACAGATGTCCTGGGTGTTACTGCTGCTTCTGACGGCAGCTCAGCGAGGAGGGCACGTTGAACAGCCCCGGAATTAATTCCAGGCTTTACTCCTCCGGTGTTGACCTGAGCCGCGTCTGGCCGCTGCCGACTCTCTCGCCTGTTCTTAATCTCCTGGGAGATTCTCCACATCACTCTGAAAATTAGTAAAATGTTCATAGCCGTTAATTTTTTCAATTTTCTCTCTTATTTTTATTAGTTTTTTTCAGAGTAATAAATATTCTTGTCGTGTTATTTCTTATTCGCTAACCGATCACTATGACGTGGCAACTTCGAGTCGGGTATATAATGTTGGCCTAATAATTTACCGCGTTCATTTTTTAATTCAACGACTAACGGGCTAATAACGGACTAACGGGCTTATCTTAGAAATAAACGCAGGCCCTAAATATTTAACCCCAAGACTCGCGCTGTACCCCGCCGCTTTATTGCTCAGTTTACGATTAGGATAATAGACCTTGTCACCGACAGCGACCTCCGGGATCTTTAAATCAGTTCCGTGGTATTTCTCTTGTCGCTCATTTTCCTTTCTCATAACAGATTCTACTTTATGTCTGAGCTCATCAAGACGCTGTACTCTTTTGGCCCATTCTGGATTATTAAATTCAAGATCATCCAGCTCCAAATGAGTCGTCTGACCAGCTGGACGTGGTTCTTCACCATGGAATAAATAATACGGAGACAGCTTAAGAGAGGAGTGGAAGGCACCGTTGTAAGCCAGTTGAAATTCGCCTAAGTGCTCTTCCCACTCCTTCTGGTCTTTATTGATGAAAGCTCTTATCATTGGTTTCAATGTACGATTAATGCGCTCTACTGGGTTAGCTTGAGGGTGTGCTACGGCTATTGGAGAAAACTTGACTCCGACTTCACCCAAATAGTCCTGAACTAGACTGTTGACAAATTCTTTGCCGTTATCCGTCACTAGGAACAATGGGTAACCCCAAAGTGAGAATGCCCATTTGAAACACTGAAGTGTAGTGGCTCCTGTGTGTTGACGTATCGGAAAGAATACCAAAAACCGGGTATAAAGATCTTGAATAATCAGAATATATTGATTTCTGCGTTTTGACCTGGTAAACGGACCCGTAACATCAGCTGCCACCGCTGCCCACGGTTTTATCAGTTGTCTAGTTTGGAGTGGAGCCCTTGAGGAGGTTTGCTTATATTTGACTTTCTTACAGGTGTCACAAGCCTGTACGAAATCCTCAACGTCCTTTGACATGCCTGGCCAGTAAAATTTTGTTTTAATGCGCTCGTACATTTTATCCCGGCCTAGATGACCAGCATCTGGCTCTTCATGGTTTCTTATCAGTGTTTCCGGCACTTCGTGGTCCCTCAGTACCTTTTTCCACTCTTCCTCGTCACCCAAGATCTCCTTAAGGGGATCGGGTCTCCTATAATAAAGATGATCCTCCAAGATTTTCCAATCAGAAAAATTTTTTGGATGTTTCCTGACATTGTTGTATTTAATGTCATACCAGTTAGATGTTTGAATGTGGACAAACCTAGCTGTTTGTAATCTGTCCTTTATTTCCATCCAATCTTCTGGAGAATCATCTTCATATAGCCGAGAAAGAGCGTCTGGGCCTTCGTTGGTCGTGCCTCGTTGATACTTGATGGTAACTTGGTGAGAAAACAGCTCGACTGCCCATCTCGCCAGGCGTCCGTTTGGCTCTTTTACTAAGTGCAGCCACAGCAGAGATGCGTGATCTGTGACCACCGTAAACGGAGCTCCTTCGAGATAGCATCTCAGCTTCCTCACCGCCCAGACTACAGCTAAGCATTCCTTCTCTGTAGTCGTGTATCTAGTTTCTGCACCACGAAGCTGACGACTGAGACAAATAATTAAATGCTCCTTGTCTGTTCCGGGTTCTTTTTGAACGAGAAACGCCCCCAGACCGGTGTCGCATGCATTTGTGTATAATACATACGACCAGTCGGGTTTAGGGATTGATAAGGGCTGAGCATCAACGAGGGATTGTTTAAGCAATTGAAAAGACCTTTCCTCTTCTGGACCCCATCTCCACTCCGAATTTGCGCCTGTTAATTTGTTTAAAGGACCTTGAGCCTTCGCAACATTCTGGAGGTGGCGATGGTACCAGTTGACGAGACCCAGAAAACTTCGTAGTTGTTTTTTGTTAGTTGGAGTGGGAAAATTTACGACTGGTGAGATTCTTTCTGGGTCAGGATATAACCCAGTTTCGTTTACAACGAACCCTAAGAATCTCACTTCGTTTCTGCAGAACTTACACTTCTCCGGGTTGATTAGAAGGCCAAATTCGCGAAATATTTCAAAAAGCAGAGCTAAGACTTTTAGATGTTCATGAAAAGTTTCGCTTATCGCGATCCAGTCATCGAGGTAAGCGAAAACTTGTTCAGCCCATTTTAGCGGAAGCTCTCTTTGGACCAATATTTGACAAAAACGAGTTTTTATATGGTCCATAGCTTTTTGAAAAGTACTTGGAGCTCCTACAAGTCCATATGGCATACGTAGCCACTCGAATTGGCCTCTACCTTCCACGGAGAAAGCTGCTAATGGAACTGAGTCGGGTGACATGAGGATTTGGTGAAATGCCTCTTTTAGATCCATTGTTGAGATGTACGTGGCGCCATGAAGAGCACTCAGTATTCTGAGCATGTTCGGAAGTGGATGAGCAGGTGGAATTGTCACTTTGTTGACTGGGCGATAGTCTATACAAAATTTCCACTTGTTGTTTGGTTTTGACACCATCAACGGCGAACATGACCAGACACTGAAGCTCGGGCGAATGAACTTTTTCTCTAGGAGCTCATCTATCTGTCTATTCAACTCTTCGTTCACAACTAGGCTTCTACGGTACGGTTTAATTCGTACCGGTTGTGTTCCTGGTTTTAAAACAATTTCATGTTGAATGATACTAGTAGCTCCTAGATTTGACACTTCACCAAATTTCCCCAACTCAGCCTCCAGAAAATCTTTTAATTTAGCTTCTTGAAGTTCAGACATAGCACATAATTGTGCTGACTTCTCATGACAGATGATAGGCTGGAATAAAAAGACTTCTGGAGAATCTGAAAATTTCCATGTGCAGTTCTTGCAGTTGATTTGAACCTCGAATTTAATCGCGAAGTCCATCCCCAGGACCAAGGAATAACCTAGGTCGGGTTTTTACCCGAATTTGTGTTTTCACAAATATTGTTCTCCAGCGACAGATCCGATTTGAATTATGAAAGGGGCTCCACCTTTACTTTTGCAAGTAGAGTGATTAGCAAGAAGCACTCCTTTCTTGGTCTGATTGTCTTGTAGCTCACCAGCAGCCAGAAGTTTGATGTCCTCATACACCTTTTCGTTGATGTAAGACCTCTCACTGCCTGTATCCAGGATTCCATTTAACTTCACCCCAAATATCCATACGGATAAGGGTATTCTCGACGTTCTTTCCGGTGGTGACCCGTTTCCGGGTTTGAAAATACGTCTAGAAGCTAGCTTGTGAATGAAAGACGTAGTGAGAGGCTTGTCTTGTAAACTATGAGGTAAACACGAAGCTTGTGATGTCTTATAGGCTTTTGTAGGAACTGCTGGTTGAGATACTGCTGGTTCACAGAGTGTTTCGACTTCATCTTCCCACTCAGAGTCTGATGCTTGTTCAGGCTCTGAGTTGTCATCAGTCTGTTGCTGTAAATCAAATATACAAGGGTGGAGTACATCATCAGATAAATCCGATGGAGGGTCTTCTAACAGTGCAATTACTCTCAACACCTCCTTTGGACAGGGTGGTTTCCCACGTTGTGTCCCTTGTATATTGTTTTCAGAGTCAGAATCAAATAAATTGTTTGATTTTCTCCTTCCTGGCCCACAAGTTGGTGTATCCAGACGGGTATCCTTGTCTACGTCGTGTGAAACAAACATATTGCTTGTTTTATCCCTTTCTGGCCCAGGAGTGGGTATATCCAGACGGGTGTCATTTTTACAATTGTCTGAGATAAGCATTTTGTTTGCTTTGCCCCTTTCTGGCCCAAGAGTGGGTGTATCCAGACGGGTGTCACTTTTACAATTGTCTGAAATAAGCATTTTGTTTGCTTTGCCCCTTTCTGGCCCAAGAGTGGGTATATCCAGACGGGTGTCACTTTTACAATTGTCTGAAATAAGCATTTTGTTTGCTTTGCCCCTTTCTGGCCCAAGAGTGGGTGTATCCAGACGGGTATTGATTTCAGAATTGTCTGTGACAGACTTGTTGTCGGAATTACCCCTTTCTGGCCCGAACTTAGGTGGGTCCAGACGGGTATCAATTTCAGAGTTGTGTGATTTGTTTCCCTGATTAATAACATGTTCTGGTAAGCACGTGGGAAACTTGCGCGCTACCTCTATGCATTTTTTTGAGTTTGTTGACTTGCATCTTCTTCTAAAATTTCAGTGATGACTGGACTTGACTTCTGTTGATTATTAATTGGAACGAATAAAGGACAATTTTCTCTCGAGTGACCAACCTTGTAGCACACATTACAGACTTCTCTTCTGGGACCAGGACAAACCTCAAATGTGTGACCAGGTACTCTGCAGTTGAAACACGGTTTAGGTCCACGTGGATAATACCAGTCATAAAATTGGCTTGTATTTTGCACCGGTATGAAGGTTTGTGCTGATGTTTGTTGCTGTTGCTGCGGAACAGAGAACTGTGCTGGTGGTGTGATGTTAGACGTTCTAGGTTGATCATTTTGTGGTGGTGTTTGTTGGTAAGCAGGTTGAGCAGCAGGCTGAGTAGGAGGCTGTTGTTGCCTCGGATAAAAGCCTCGACGGACAAATTGTCTGTTTGTAGGAAACTGGTTGCTGGTACGTCTGTATACTCCGTAGCGGTTATCGTATTCTCCTGAGTTTACTTGCATGGCATTAAACTCAGGGAGCTCGACATATTCTTCCAGAATTTCCATGTCCTCAGTTGGCTGTTGGATTGCTCCAAAGCGAGGTTTCTCTGGGTTCTTAGGTTGGTTGACAGCCTGTGTTTTGTTGCTCGTGCTTTTCGTACACCTGGCAGCCTCGTGTAGCACGTTCAGAAGGTCCTCGTACGTCAAGACCTGTCTCGCAAACACCATGATTCTTAGCTCGTCAGTTAAATTATTGCGGATACAGTTCACTTGTTCTTGAATTGATGGGGGAATTTCCATTGCTCGGTATTTTTGCTGGACCTTCAGGACAAATTCGGTGGGACTGTCCCCCGGCGTCATTTTCATTTGGCTAATGTCTATAATCATTTGGTGATCAGTTATAGCGCTACCAAAAGTTTTTAAAAATTCCCTCTTGAACTGGGCAAAATTTTCCCATCTACTGTAGTTTGCATCTACCCAACTAGCTGGCGTTTCCTTTAGTGTGAGAGTGATCACCTGCAATAGCTCCTTGTCGTTCCATTCTTCTCGTCTGGATCTTGCCTCTAACGAGTTCAAAAAGTCCTTAGCAGTGACTCTTGGTCGAGGGAAACAGATGCCAGACATTTGGACACTATCTTTGATTTCCCTCCAACGGTTGTAGGTAATCTGACCCGACCTATTGATGGTGTTTAGTCTTATGTTAGCCCCTCCAGGTGCTCTCCATTGATAATCATCATTTAAATTATCCTGGTAATTTACTTGTGGTGCATTTATGTAAATGTTACTGGGTAAAAATCCCCGGTAACGCTCTTGTTGGTTATTTTCTTGTAAATTAACACCTTGGGCTGTGGCCGTATCGGTCGGTGGATGTCGTGTCGTGTTCACTGGGCGCGAATTCTGGTTATGTTCATCTTGAAGAATCGGAGAGCTGGAATTTATTCCAGCATATGTTGTTCCAGTATAGACCTGACGTGCTAGTTGTTCACGATCTCGCAACTGACGTATTTCCTGCTCTTGTTGTTGTTGTATTCGTTCAAGACGTTCACGTTGATTTTGTTCACGTCGCAGATTGTCGCGCAGCTCTTGTTCGCGTGCCTCTCTCTGTCTTAATGCTTCTTCGACGCCAAATAGTTCGGCAGGAGGCCTCCGAGATGCTTCTGGGTCTCCTCGAAGTCGATGTTGCAGCCAAGATATGTTATTATCCATATCCTCCATTATATCATTAATTCTGTCTGCAACTTCCCCAAAATGCAACGAAGAATCCGAGGAACCAGCTGGAGTTGGTGTATTAATAATTCTCGTGAACAAATTACTGTATCTTGACGTACGAGAGTTAACCGGAGCAGATGCTGTACCACTGGTACCAGGATTTGTGCCGATGGATATTCTTTGACTGTTTTGAACTAGTTGTGTGTTTCCTGTAGAGCTTTGTTGACCGAGAGCCGTGTTTAGCTGTGTTGACTCCCCCTGAGGTACAAGCATTAAGCTCGACCTGGGTAATTGAGTCACTACAGTAGAGCCTTGTTGATTCTGACCCGGGTATGATTGAGTCGTCTCCCCCTGAGGTACAGGCATTAAGCTCGACCTGGGTATTTGAGAACGCTCCTCCAAGAGTCTTTGTTGGTTGAGACCCGGGTGTATTTGAGTCGTCTCCCCCGGAGGTACAGGCGTTACACCTGACCTAGGTGTTTGAGTACGCTCCCCCAAGGGTCTCTGTTCAACATTAGTTCCGGGATCCACTAAGGTGTTTGATGACAACGTACCACGACCTTTTCCAAAGGAAACTCGACGAGAGTCGATTACTGGTTCTTCCAGGAGTCGTTGAGATCTTGTTCTGGGTCCAACTGGCGGAATCATATTAATATTGACTGAACAAAAATTTTCAAATGAAATTAAACCGCAATATAATTTATTAACTAAACTATTTATAAATAACTTCTTTAGCCCAAATAAATTTGAAATAATTCGCAAAATAAAATTTCAGAAAGTAAAAATGAATTCGAAACAAAAAAATAATTTTCGAAATATAAATGCAGCATAAATTTTAAAATAAAATAATATTCAGGAAAAAAAAATTTAAATTTCAAAGTAAATAAATTTTCGAAAAATAATTTTCAAAATAAAATAAAAATAAATTTCGGAAAATGAATTTCCGGAAATTAAATTTCCAAAAAAACAATTCCTCAAAAAAATATTTTAAAAGTTGGTTATCGGGTAATAATGTTGGAAAAAAAATTCCAAAATTTCCAAAAAAAAGCTTTGAAAACGAAAATTTTCTTAGAGAAATAAATTTGAAAATAAACTTAAATTTCAAAAATAATTTGAAAACTAGAATGAATTTTTTGAAAAATAATTCAAAAATTAAATCCTGCGCAAAAATAAATTTTCGAAAAGAATGAATTTCAAAATTTAATTATAAAATTCAGAATTTAAGAAAAATACTTGAGTATTGATTTTGTAAAATATTAAATTTTCAAAAATAATTTGAAAACCAGGATGAATTTTTTTTAAAAATAATTCAAAAATTAAATCTTGCGCAAAAATAAATTTTCGAAAAGAATGACTTTCAAAATTTAATTATAAAATTCAAAATTTAAGAAAAATACTTGAGTATAAATTTTGTAAAATATTAAATTTTCAAATCGGATTCCAAGACAATTGACAAAAGTGAATTACCAGGCAAAAAAAAAAAAAAAAAAAAAATTTTGAAAAATAAAAATTCAGAAAGGAAATTATTAATTCTAAAACTCTCAGTTTATCTTTTAATTTTAATTTATGTGAAAATTTTGAAAATAGAATTCAATGAAGAATTTAATTTCTTTATTAAATTTCGAGGAATAGTTATCCAATTAAATGATCAATTAATTTTCAAATTAACCCTCGAAAACGGAAATTAAATTTTCAAAAAAATTCAAACTTCAGAAAATATTTCGGAAGAAAAAAAATATATTTCAAAACTAAACTTCCAAATGTTTAATATAGAAAAAAAAATTTTGTAGTAGAATATTTCAGGTAGATTTTCAATTATAATTATTATTATATTTAATTCACTTCTTGCAATTGTTCCGGGAAATAATCCGAAGATTTAATTATAATTATACCAATATTAAGTTTAGTTTAAAATAGAAAAATTTAACTTTCCAATTTATTTTATTTTAGCGAAGGAATTTTATAATCGGATTAAATTTTATAGTAAGAAAGAACACTTCAGTAATTGTGTTGTTACTTAACGCGTCGAGTCGATGCCGAACGGAGTTGTCCGAAGTAGACAGAGGCAACTGCGTCACCCGCTTCGGTAGCGTATTATAGAACTTTGTTCGGTTGTCTTCTCGGCCAAACGCGCCAAACGTACGACGATGAACGAAGTTGACCGAAGTGTGCGCGTCACTAGCTACGGCAGCTTTGTGTTCTCAAATTTTACTACGTGGACAGATGTTTTTTTTTTTTTTTTTTTTTGAGAGTTTTATTTTTGTAGTTTTATTTATTATTATGTATAATCCCCTGAGTGGCTACTTCACGTAGACAATGCTAGTGCAAGCCACTGGGTATGTTTTGTTTGATGTACAGATAAATATAATCCCCAGAATAGCTGTGTGTCGTAGTAATTGCTAACACCAGCTATTGGGTAAAATGACACTTCCGGTTTATAATAAATTTTATTTTCTTAATTTTAAAATTAACGAAAAATAAATACTTAACGAAATTCGTTTTGTTAAATAAAATTCAATAGGCTCGAGTAAAACTTTTTCAGACTCAAATAACTTTTTTCAAACTTAAGATTTTTAGCCAATGACTGATGAATTTTTTCAATTTAAAATTTAATAAAAAAAAAATAAAAATTTATTTATTTCCGGCCTTTTTTCTCTCTCTTTGGGGTTTTTCAAAAGTTGGGCGCCAGTGTAACGGGTGGTTTATTTCCCGTACTTATTAGCCCTGATTATTTTTAAATAAACAATATAATGACAAAAATGACTCTAACGACAAATAGGGCGCCACCAGGATTATTATCTCGGTTCCTGGAACCGGATGCCAGAGCTGAGCTTTCTTAATTTACAGGGAGAGAGAGAGAGAAATGTTTACTGGAAATAAATATATTCTTATTTAACAACGGATACAAATTTATTTAACGATAAAAATTTAACAACTTGTACACTTGTATGTACTCCTCACTCACACACACTACTCACTTATAACTAAGGTTTTTCTTACTTCACGCTTCCCACCGGGAAGTCGCTACTACAACTTATATTTACTTATCAATAAGACACCTCGTACAAAGACTGCAGTGCACGAGGGCTTATCAATAACGCCTTGCTACAGAAGTAACAGCCTAGTGACTGCAACATAAGCCAAGAAGCCTCTGCAGCTCTCTAACACCTAACTTACTAGTACCCCACTTGGCGTCTATACAACGGCTTCTATCAAAATGCTTAATCCCACAGTACCCTCTTATGGAGCGACTATACTGCAGTTTCTACCTTACTACCGCTGTACCCCATTTGGCGTCTATACAACGGCTTCTACGCCAGCGAAACACCTCGCAACGGACTGCACGACTGCGAAGGAACCCTGGTGGCACTCACACACACATACCCCACACCTCTCACACACACACCGACTCTACTTTTCTAATTTATTTCCGGATTACAAAATTTATTCCGAAAAATGTCAACTTTAGATTCTCATAAAACTTATCAGTCATTAGCTTACAACAATAAAACTCCTGAATTTATTCTCATAAATTACTAAATTTTACTTCTTAAAATATCCGGCTTAAATCGACGCTTCTTTTCCCTCCATTTTTAATCACGAGCTTATCTCTGCGCATTAACAAATTCTCAGAACCTTTGCCGCAACATTTTACCTCGACATTTTTGTTGCGGGTAAAACTGTTAATTTTTCTCGGACGTAATCCACACGAATCATTAGTTCTATAAATAATTTTGCCGGAATAGCAATGATGATAAATTATTGATAAATTCGATATAAGACTCCCCTGGCAGAAATCGGCAATTAAATTAGATAATATTTTATAACTTTACTCAACATGAAAATTACGTGCCTCAATTTTCCTGCGGGTGTTTCAGTCTTATCTGCGTCGAAATTTAATAAATTAGTTCTCAACAATTAATAACACGTGGAATAACAAATCTCTAGCAACTTGCGAATAACGGTTAGATTATAAACAATTCACTTCAGAGTGGAAAAGACATTTCAAAAAAAATTATCCACGGTCCTAAATTTCGGAATGCAACGCAGTTTTCTCAATAAATCAATTCCGGTAATTAAAATTGTTCCGAATAAATAATCAAACAATTTTCCAAAAACGATAAATATATAGAAAATAATTAATTAAATGAGATGTAGTATTTTCCGTGAGCCGGGTGTGAACCCCTTAGTTCAACACGGAGACAGAAGTCCGTGACCTTAGCAAATTTTCCTCACCGAAGAAACTCTGGACTGCGTTTGGTCTTCCTTCTGGATGTTGTTGCTCGTTGGTGCTTCTGGGTGAACCACTTCACTACTTCTCCCGACACAACGCACTGCTCAGCTATTTGATGGATCTCCGAAATACCCCCTCCCACTTACTACTAATCGGGTCTTGTCGGGTCACGAAGATCGAGACGCCAGTGCTGCGTCGAATTATTATCACGCGCGATCGATTTTATCGATCAGGGGCAAAGTGCCCTGTTACAAAGGCAATGTCATCAGCTGAGCGGTATTACAATGTGATGAAGAAGGAACTACTCGCAATAATGGATGCTATAAAACTATTTAGGCCGAGAACATAGTAAATGAGAAGCTAGAAGAGACAAACAACGTCCGAGAAGAATTGAACGGGTAAGTGAAACGAGCATTAAGAAGAAAGAAAATGATCGACATCGCAAAAGAAGAATTGGAGGAAATCAAGTTTCTACGTCTTCTGCAAGGACACGATCTAGATAGAGGGATGAACTATCTAGAAATAAAGGACCTGGGTAAAAATACCAGGGCATGGAATGATACATGAAATAGCTATAAAGGTGATGTAATCAGAAATTATTATTAAATCTTACTATTATAAATTTTAATACGGGATCATAGAAGCTAAGATATCAAAAAATATGATATTAAATATATATTTTTTTCTTTTGTTTGACTGGAAGGTAATCACTTAACTAAAACTATGATAATAAAGCATGCTAATTAGAAATACTACTCTTCGTATCTGTTATCTTTCATTTCTCACTCTAAAAATCCGGCCGGTAATTCTTTCACATAAAAATAACAATAACTCTTTGAGCTTATACTAAAATAAGACTACGCTAACTAACGCAATCGGTAATGTGATTCCTTCCAGAACAGGAAATCGATTTAAAGATGTACACACATACATATACATATATATGTGTGAAAATTTTTCTCCCATAGGAGAGGTAAAAACAACGACTGAGTACAGAGGAAAATAAAAGGAGAGATTTTGCAATAAAATCTGGATTTAGTACTTAGAATAAAATTTTTTTTCTTTTGTAGCTATTAATAAGGGTCAGCAATGAGATCTGTCTTTAAAATAGTAATATGTTGAAAATTACTAATTTAGCAGCGAGAATCCCTACTGACCCACATTTTAAAAGATTGAAATTCTGTAAATGATAAATTTGTACGAATATGTGGGGTTAGCAAATAAGACCTGACTTTAGAATAATTAGATAGAGTAGATAAATAATTTAATAGTGAGAATTTTCGCGATCTCAGATATTTTTATTATTCCTTTTTTTCGGGAACCCGAATGTTATACGGTATCGATACTACGTAGACATATGAAGGAAACGAAAATAAATTCCTTTTTTTTTAATATTAAATGATACGGGTAACAGTTAGACCAAAA